ACAGAATGTTGTGAAGTTTAATAGATTGTTAATCAATCTGTTAAATTCATTCCAGACACAATGGCTTAACTACCAGACTAGCGGTTCTTTACAAGATTTCGATATTTGCATATAAGTTTTTTACAACATTCCGACAATTGCATGCAAGCTTAACAGATTCGGAAAAGTTTACAACAAAGAGTTTTGTCTGCAACATTTAAGCATTGTAATTAAGATTGGTTAAGAAATTGAAAGAGTTAGATTTGGATAAATAATTCATCGCTTTGGATATCGAAATATTATTTTATTAATTTTATATAACAAAGCGTTTATCTGAGAGATATCCTGAATTTTAATTAAAACAACTCAACATTTTTTCGGCTTGGCCACAGAGAGTGACAATACACCACGTACAACCTTACATTGATCATCTGGAAGAGGTACAACGATCAAATCATGAAGTGTAATTCATCGTGGTTGCATTTGTCCATTTCACCGCACATTGTTTTTTCAAATCTTATTGCGCCCGATTTCCTGTCACACAAGGTATCCGTTCTAACATACATCCATAGATAGCACTCTTCACCACGTGACGGACCAGCTTTATCGCTCGATACGGTATTGGTGATGACATAAGAATGTAGAAGAGGCGCTGACAGTATGCTCTGTAAATCTAACATGACAGATTTACATGAATAGAGTCTTGCAACACTGGGACATAAATTTCACATTATGCCCGTTTTCGGTTCGCTTCAATTCATCCCAGTCGCTTGTTCAAGAGTAGTTGAGGCTGAGCTAATTGGCTCTTCAGTCATGTTTGTTAATCAGATCTTGCCATCTTGAACTGTTTATTTCTTGAATATTTCATGAGATATTCCAACTTCTGTCTTTCTGGCAATAATTTTCCTGTTTAAACTCAACCTTTGAACATGTCAAATTCCCATCTTCTCCACCGCAAATTCCACGTACGTTTATAAAGTCAAGCGCATCTTTTGTATTCGGGTTATTTTTGAAGAACTTTCGTACCTACTGTATTGTTCCTTGTCAAGTTAGTGAGAACTAAGAGTTGGTGAGGTATTTTCAAAGTATGCGGTTAACAATTGCATTATATTTACGACACATTTGTATTTGATAGAGGTCCGTACAGGGATCATTTACAGAGTCTGTGGTTGTACGAATTCCAGCTATTCCATACATAACTTCCCTGTTCTCCCATTCACTTTATTTCAGGTAATACGGTTGATGCAGGTGGGATTGCTATGAAACATTGGTGTCAACTTTTACTTTCGTAACTTCGTGTATGCTAGTTTCTTTCGAATTTTACTGTTGTAAAAGTAGGAATTTTCTTTCAAACAGAGGAATTCTTACGACTAGTGGGACTGCAAACGTTTCGGGCCTCTATTGTAGAGGAGAAAATATACGATATATGCTGTAAGCAAAATGAGAGAAAGGTTCAGTACTATTCATTGATTGCCGGAAAGGCGAAATTACCTATTAAATGATATGAACTGTGATGGTAGAGATAGGTGAGTATCAGCTGTCTTAATAGAGGAATATAACTACAAAGAGATTCATTCAGTGAAGATCAGTTGTGGTGAACGACTAGCAGATCAGATTTATCTAGATTTGATTGGTGGAAGGTATAGCTGCTTTCGATTACTGAATGGAACACATGAAATTGGATGCGGTTGTAAGTACTTACACTGTTTAAAAGGAGATATATAGGCGCTGCAACCGAATGATCAAAATAAATGCGTTCTATGTACCACAAATAAGTTCTGTATTTGGCACTCTTTCAGCTGAAGAGGAAGGAAACGAAGGTGTTGTTGTTTATGCCGATAATGCTGATGAGTTCATTAACCTTATACCAGGTCTTGATTTCGCAGATCGCATTATCACAGCTTTCGATATATTTCTTTTAAATGAGTAAGTTTCAGGTCGAACTTTATAATTTCTGGTTGATCTTATCGTAAAATAAAATGATTGGTATTTATAAAAGCGACATATACTGTTGCTGCTGCAGGAGATTGATCAGAGTATTGAAGGACGATAGGGTAAGTGGTGTGCTTCTGTTACGCAACGACTTTGTTACCAACGACCAAAAACGGCTGAATATCGGATTTTCAGAAGATGCCTTTTGCCCTAATGCGCAGTTTGGTATGAATTTTTAATGTTTCATGTTCTCCGTTAGGTCCATAATTTATTGTGAAACTTCACATTTTTCAGATCTCAATGGAGATTGTGAAAATCGTTGGAACGAACGTGGTGCACTTTTGCCAGAAGGTTTTCGATTCATCAATTGGAAGAAACCAATTTTTGTTATTGAAAATCGCACAGAAATCGATATCATACGAAACTTCGTAAGTGGGTTTTCTACGCTGCATATTTGCCATTTCCTTTGAAATAATCTGAAATACCACTAGTGTGACTGAGTCATGCACTCGTAGATCTCATGGATTTCAATACCACACCTGCCTCCATCCAAAAAGCAATTGTTGCAGTGCTATGAGGCATTCAACAAGAGGAATTTGAGAGGAGCTGTGCTTTGTTCAGCGCGTATGAAACATTTCATGCGGGCAGCGGGCAATGCTCAAATATGTCTCCAACGCCAGAGGCTGTTCTACGGCTTTTCGGATTCATCGTTAGTGCTCAAAAAAGTATTTTGATTTTGTTTCGTTAAACTGTGCAGGTACAGTTGAAATTATTTGATTTCAGGATCTCTCTGTGTGACCCATTGGAAGACAAAAATTTGTTTGCAACGGTTCCTGCAATTACGAAAAAGTTCAGGCCGAAAAGCTTGGTTCTCTCTGCCCGAGTATAATTTCATATATTTAGTTTCGTTCCATATGGTGAATTTTAGAAAGACAATTTTGAGCACTAATGAAAATGGAATGACTACAGAGGCAGTGTTTGAGGATGTTGTAGATGGATTCCTTCAGTTCGTTCACAGAAGCAGCTGTTGGCGACGTGTCTGTTCTCACATCACTCATTAGTCTTCTAGCAGTTGCTAAAACAATTGCAAATCATTCCAGTGAATTTGAAGCTGTGACGAAGCGCAACAGACGGGCCGTTATTTTCGCCTTTTTTCACGGTGTATGATTATGAATCTACAACAGCGAATTTTTGCATTGTTGTTTATTGAATTAAACCAGTATAAATATTGAGTCGTGATCACATAAGTTTAATTAAAACTTTTTTCTTTATTAGTATATTCATAATCAGTATGTTGTTGTGGAATGCAAGAGGTAATTTAATGTAAACAAGTGATTTCAGGAATCGCTGGGTTATATTGGAAGTAGTGCCACAGTAAATGACATCATAAAAGGCGGATTTCCTTTAGACATCAAGCTAACAGACATCAATAGTTTTATTGAGGTAACCATGAAGATCATAAGGATGGTGGCAGCACTGTTGAATAAGGTTGATTAACAGGTCATTTCTACATATGCGCAACAAATTCAACAAACATTGGGTCGAAAACACCTTATCAATAAATTTTATATTTTATCATTTTCAGTTGTCATTATTTTACAGGTACAGCAGCTTGATGGTTCAGAACCAACGTTCTCTGCCCATATCGATTCAAAAGCTTACGATACTCCTGAAAACAAACTGAAAGTATGTTGAGCAGCAAATTCTTAGAAAAACATAACTCATCTCTAATGTGGATAAAATTCATTTTCCTGTGCTATTTTACAGGCAGTATTTAGGACCCGTTTAGGTTATCTTAAGTTAAACGGCAATTTTGTCGTATCTTAATAATGTGAGATGGATTCTCTGAGAACTATATAATTCTGTATTTTCATATCACTGGATAAGTGTTGCTATATTTTAGGTGCAAATTTTACTCGATGCAGCCAGGTCATCCCTTAAGCAAAGCGAGTCCAGAAATGAGGGTAGAAGAGGTAGTAAAATTGTTGAGAAAAAGGGTCGACTACCACCTTCTTCTTATCAGTCATTTTTGAAAGAAAAGCGTGACATAGCTGGTTTCGTTCTCCGGCCTTTCGGTCAACAGTATATTTACAAGTTAGTTAAAGAAATTGTTCAACTGTGATGGCTTAATAAAAACAGGTGCTTGTGGTAAATAGAACTATTATTATAGCTAGTAACTTATCATGGCTAGTAACTTTTTCTATCTCTTTAAATTTAAAAAAATATACTGTCGGTAATGGTGTATTTGCAGCCGATTAAATTCGTTGGAGGACCAAAATGTTTTCAAAAATGGAACTGCCAAACTGCGAACTCAAGTTATTGCTGCTGCGAATGCTGTTATGGGAGCAATAGCAGGTTTCGTTACTGGTGGGAATGAAACAGAAATTGATTTATTCAATCAGTATGATATAGATGAATTATATGTAAGCAAACATTACTCACCAAATTCATTGAATTTTTTTCCCTGTAGTAGTCATGGTGCTTTTGACGAATATTTCATTATAGGTAGCCGTTCTTCTGGATTGCTTCTTGAAATATTCTGATTGGTATACTTGTGATTTCTTCAGAAGTATCACGAAAGGCGACGATCGATTTGAACATCACTGTTAGTTCAAACAAATCTTTTTATAATATTTGTGTCCATTTTGACCTTATCGTTCGATATAACAGACATTTACAGACATAAACTCAATTTGAAAATTCTCCTTTTATTGTCTAAATTCTGTGGGCTTTGTGAAAAGTGCTTTCAAAAAGTATTGCATTTGCAAACTTTGCAGCGAAAGAAACATATATATCGGTAGGAAGAAACAGTTATTCGTTAATTCGCCTTCTTATGACTATGTTAATTGTAAATGTTCTTGGATCCAAGAACGCCGTTAATGTTCCCGATCGTGGCCAGTGTGAAGATTTAAATAAACACCAAAAGGTAACAGGATGATTTTACTTAACAGTTTTTATCGTTTCATTTCTTCAGAACTCACAACTGAAAAAAATTTTGCTCATGCTCACTTGCCAGTACAGTGTTTTTTAAAAACACTCAAATAAAGCGTTTAGTATGAAATGCGAAATGCAGGTATCATACTGTGATATGTAGAACAACATTCAAACTTAAAACCTGCATGCACAAAATTACTATACGGCATTCAACATGAAAATTACAAAATTCAACATAAACGGCATTCAACATGGGAATTACAAAATTATTGGTGAATAATCACCTTTTACATTCAAACCTATTCATTCATCACTATTCCCACTCACAACATTAGGATAAAATTTGTTGGGAGCAGTTGGTTTTCCGAGTACTAATGAATAACAAGTAATTTTTCGAGAGGGAAATCTCTTGCAGATTTATCATTATACTTGGCAGTATGATCCAGAAGATGAGAAATTTACATGTTATCGTAATTCGCTATATATAACAGCAGCGGAATCTCCGGCCTTCAAATTAGATGGTATTGTTTTGTGTAAATTTTTTCTGTTTCGACGGAACACAGGTTTCTCTCGATAAGTTTTTGTTATCTCAAGTTTATTTCATTTTATCTGCAGTGGAAATTTACCATTTTCTTTATTTGTCCGCTTCAAATTTTCACGTTTGTCCTTTCTGCAATTTAGTATGGAAATTTTCAGGGTACAATATGCATTCAGGAGTTTATTCAACTTGGGTGGAAAGTGTTTGGACCACGAAGCAGTTGGAGCTTTTCTTAACCATACATCCATGTCTAACGCATGATCTCACTGTGCTTCTATTCGGGTTCATTTTTTTCATCATTTCATACATCATAATGGAACTGATTTATTTGGGAAACAGAGAAAACATCGAACCAGCAGCATCCATACTCGACTCCGATTATAATCCATCCCCACTTTAGTCGTTGTCTGTTCATAGTCTGCCTGGCTGCATTTCCTTGCTCTGTTTCAGTTAACCTTTATTTTTGAATTTGTTTCAGAAACTTTCACATTGTTGTAATGCTCATTGTAAGCATATTTACCGTGCTTTTTATTGTCTTTAAATGAGCTACACATATTGGAATAATTCGTTTTATGCGTATTATTTTAATCCGTAATCCCAAGAATTGTGTCGAGATTTTCTAACTCACGATTGTTCATTGATTGTTTTGCGTTACTGTTACAAGTTTATAAAGGTTTAAAGTCGATTCACTATTTCGGTCACTTACTTGGCATATGTGGCACAGTATGTAGGGTCACTGTTCATATAACTCATTTTGAAGCTTTCCTGTTACAGTATTGTGCATATTTATACAGTTTCTTGTCGTTATCAATTTTGTGCATACTTGCACATTTTCAGTTGTGTATGTTTAAAACGGTGCACATTTGGATAACATTTTTACACTTTGTGATGATTTAACAACATATACGTGATAATCCGAGTGATGAGAAAGGCTGCTCATAGTTACTTATTATTGATGAAAAAGTGGGAGCAGTATTATGCAGTCGAAAGTGTCCGCTGAAAATGATGTACCCTACGTAATAATTGTTGGCTTTAGAATTTTAACGGAAACGATTGGTAAAGAGGTAAAAAGTAGAACAAGCAAATATCCAATTTATACGAAAAGAAAACACAAGCAAATAACCATAACAATGAAAGCGATAACACAGACAGTGAGTTTGACGACCACGGATGGACCTTCATTTCCAATGAAGATAGGTGGGAGATTTTCCTTCGCGTCATCCTTCCCTGATAAACTTGTCTAAATGAATTCATTACTCGTTACTTGCATTTACAAATTACAAAAAGTTACTAATTCATTCCTTACAAATGGTAATGTTTAAGTTCTAGTACTCAACCAAACAGTGGATCACTCACTGACATAGCTTTCAGGATGACGAATAGATAAAAGCCTACACGTAATTTCAATATGAGATGGAAAGTGATAGTAGGATACGTATGGTAGAATGGTAGAATGATAGACGAATGATGGTAGAATGATGGAGATTCCTGAAGATCTTATCAAATAATCCTTTTGCTTATAAAATTCCAAGAGAAAAATCCTGAGTAGCAGCAGAAAAGTAACCGTTTCAGAGTTGAATAACTGTTGTGGTCGTTGAAGAAGAATAGATTCCATCACTTCGGGTAGCTGACCCCTGAAAAAAAATCTGTTGAAGGATTTAAAAGCTATGAAAATTTTAATCGGAACGAACAATAAGCGGAATATCAAAAAAATGCTAACATAATGGCCTAAAATTTGGTGTAATTTCGTTGACTACTAGGCCAGTTATTTCTGATCATAATTGAATCAGCTCAGTTCAGGTCAAAGATAGTTCTCGTCAAAGACTAACCGTGAACGCGGCTCGTGATCATAGCAGATGATTGGTACACCAAGTGATTGATCAATTACCCTTTCCATATCTTTTTTTTTTTTTTTTCACCCTTAAAAACAGGCATTTACAACTTTTCACTTCCATTTGCCAATTTTATTACCATTACCGACAAAAATTTAGTTCATATAATAAAGATAGCATATTATATTTGTGTAGGGATAGCAGCAATAGTGTAAGCATTATATATATAATAAAATTCTTGTTTGATCTGACGACATCCAACAGATAGATCATAATGTAATGCAATAATCAATAAAGAAGTGCTGGTACGGTGCTTGATCGTTGATTCGCTTTCCGGACAGTGTCACCTGCCAAAACATAATTTGAGCATTGTTGATCGGTAAGGTTTTACCAACCCGTTTCGAATCTCTCATATGTATGTAGTGAGTGAGTGTGTGTTAGTGTCGCATGCGCGATGGGCGGTTCGATTTAATTCACTGTGCATTGTCAATAGACTGTCATATTGAGCTTAAAAAAAAATGCCGAAGTAGGAGGGAGGTGAATTGAAACAGTAAGATGGCCATTAAAGATCATCGAAGCATTGACCTTTAATCCTTCAAACGATGGGATCGCCATTACGAGATGTCAACTTGAGCATCATCAAAGCAGCATGTCCCTATACCCTCACAGGCTATTTTTCAACAAATCACAACAGCATACTGTCTTGTGTTTTACATATCATCATCAAAGTGACAAGAGAAGTATAGGATCACGAGGAATGTGTTAGATTTCCCGAAAGCCGTATTGCATTTATATTTCGTTACAAATATCATACGACAGAATTATTTGCCTGTGAGAGCTGAAGGCACTAATTAGTCTGGATAAATTTAAGGTTGCGAAATTAGATGGATTATGAAAAGTGATCCCAAACATCTTCAACTTCCTTACTTCACCATTACTTCTAACCTTCAGATACAACATCCTCGTACCCAACTCAGGCTGCTTTGAAACCCCAATCATAGTTTCTCATCTTTTCCTTTCACCTTTCAGTTCTTCTCATATCTCCTAATAAATAATCTTCTTTTCACTACTTGTTGAAAATACTTTTTGCAACGAATTATTCAGTTAGCTTGCTTTCTAACCTTCACCCTTGTTGCCACTATCCATCTTGCATCTGGCATCCTGTATCCTGCATTTTGCATATTTGTGTGTTGATCATACGCGCCCGTCACCGCTTCATCTCTTATCTCCCACCATTTTTATTTATTTGATTTGACTTAATCTTCATTTGCTAATTCTTTTCTATAACTTCTGCATGACGATATGAGTAAAAGTTCATGAAACGGTTATTCTACTGAAATACTTCCAAATAGAGGATCTCGAAAAAAAGTATGTACATTGAAATTAATTTCACACAAAATCAAAACAAAGATTATTTTGTAAAATTGATAGTAGTTTGATTTTACGAAACCTTGAGAGACAATTTGATAAGTAAAATAGATTTGGAACAATTTCACTCTATTCTTATTCAAACGCATTTTTCTCATATTAAATTTGGTCATATTCAAATCAAAACGCACGCTCCATGTTATGCTAAACTAGTGGTTCCCATTCTTCTCTTGACCAACGACTACTTTGGCTTTTTTATTTGTAGCAGGAATCAAAAGATTTAAAAACAATAAATTCTGTTAATTCGAGGGCAAACTTTAATCAGAATTTTTAACATATAAATTAAATTTAGATAACACTGCGATATAAAAATGAAGGAACATGGGAATAAAGTCACAAACACAAAAGACAAAAGCAATTTTTTTCCATCATTAATAATTTCCTAATCGTTTCGCCATCGCCTTTGCAGACCATATTTTGATTCCTGTGAGCCATCCCTGGGAATAATTGTGCAAAACGAATAGATTGTTCCGGACAACTTGGGCAAAAAGTAAGAATACATGAATGATGAATTCGATAATAAAAAGGAGCCGAAGAGCAGAAACAAACAAAATGCAATTGTGGAAATTGCAATTGCAATATTTGGCAGCAGTAAGGTCGTCGTTGATAAGATAAGCCAAAATTTTATCATATCGATAGTTATTGCTTTTCTTTCTGTGATATTACAAGATTCCCTGTAAATTGTAATGTTGCCGTCTTATTCGAACAACTTCAAGAAGGCAATGTTTCTGCCTCAATTCGATTATTCTACTTTCAAAATGACATTTTATCGTCTCACTTCTAAAGCTGCAAATGTTAAATGACGATGAAATTTTACTTAAGTAATTTACTAGTCTTTAACATAAAGTATGACAAAAATCTACAAGCTGCTGTTTCTTCCACTCTTTAAATTTTATTTCTTTCAATGCTAAATTTCAAAAATAATACAACAAATTTAGACGTGAAATAAATTCTTTTTTTCAAATATCCATTGTTAAACTTTATTTTATTTAAAATTTTTGAAAATTCATCCAAAAAAATGACAGTGCATGCGTTTGAAATCATTATTGATTATCTTTTTTCACAGATAATGAACGCAATATGTTTTCCATTCTCGAGGTTTTCATTTTCGAGATTAAATGTCAGTTGTCCTGCTACGTGAGATACATCTTAATATTAAGCATTTATTCAAACAAACACAATTTTTCTTTGAATTGCTACGCGGTATAATGATATGGTTTGAAATTTGCCAAATTTCCTTCGCTAAAACTTGTGTCTATTGTGATTCTATATCATGCTTGTCTCACAGCTTAAATTTAATACCAATTTTCGTTTCAAATATTACGAAAATTCGTTTTGTTCTTATTTTTTTTTCATGAATTCATTTCTTCATTGCTTGATTTATTTCTTCGTTTCGATTTTTTGCTGCTCAGAAAAGCTTATCTTAGAGGCTTATGCACAGAAATTCCAATCTCTCAGAATGCCGAAGTCAATTTATTGATCCAATCAAAAATTCCTATTTCTAATTCAAAAGATCAAATAGGCAATTAATATACATGATAGAGGAATTTTGTCTGAAATATTGTATTATCATAGAAGCAACCAGAGGAAAAGGTTGAAGACAGTTTGCTTACGAGATTGTCATATTATGATACTTGATACGTGTAAATTACATGAATGCATGATAATTAAATTGTAGTAATTATAATTAACTAAGATTCATCAGACTTCTGGCACACCTCTTTTCGTTGTTGATCAGTTATTGTTCGTGTACTGATAAATTTGCATTAGCTTATTTAGCAAAAAAATCGATCCGATGTAATTGTATAGCATAACATTATACACTATTCCCTTACCTCTTGAACTAATAATGTTTCCAGCAGAAAAGATAAAATTATTTCACTCAAAGTCTTCCACTTCCTTTGTAATTTCACGTCAATCACGTTCCGAGGATGTCTATGTTCATTTTAATTAAAGCACCTTTTTTCTCAAATATTTGTGTAATGTTCTGTTCGTTGATTGTGTAAATATGGATAATACATGAATGAAGCTCTGATACTATTCCTTTCTCTGATAATCTAATAAAGATTACTCAGCTATTTCGGTCGCATGAAATTTCAAATGACTTTCACTCATTCTCTAAGATTGCAGTTTAAGATTATCGCAGTATAAAAAAAAGATATCACCGGGAGCAAAGTGATAACTCTTTCAATGGCAGGTACATCTGCTTTGAAGATTTTAATTTAATTGAAAATTGGACGAAAAATCTTAAAACAAGACTTTACTCTGCGATTTGTATTCTAAGAGTACAAATTATCCTTTACCACATTTGTTTGATGAAATAACATTCTTCAAATCGTTGGGCAATCTTTATATTGAAAAAGAACAATTTCCGGATGTACAAAACCTCTAGATTGTTTCGAAAACCGACTAAGCAATTCCGAATCCAAGAGGATGAATAAGACTGACTTTACTAACATTAAAATCAACATCTATTGTTAAATCCTTAATCTATGCATTCTTCAATCAGCTCGTCGATGACGGTTTTGAAACTTGAAACTTAGCAAAGTGTCATAAACCGTATTCGCACTGATAACTTCAACTTACTGCAATTTTTGAATTATTCACCTTTTTTAATTATATATCGACATATAGATAAAAGATTTCACAAAGACAATATTGCAACCGAAGCGATATAATTGATTGGTTAAAATAGTCATAGCTTTGTATTGTCGAAACTCAGCCAATGCATGGTGCCATGTCTTTAATCTTTTATATTCATATAGCATATATCCGGCGTCCATTTACACTTTCTCTACTAGTCACTCTTACCAGACCATAAAGGAGACACTTAAATCAAATATGAATATGAAGAAAAATGAACTGCGTGAAGAGAAAGTGATAACAGCTTATGGCAAATATCCTTTCTTGCTGGCAAATTTATATATTTTTTTAAATAGCCTCTCAAAATTGGCAATATAATTTGTGATTAATTTCTTTTAGAGAAGCAGTAGAAACAATAGGTCAATGCAAATCAAAAGCTATTCCTTACTATGATTCTTTTGTCTGAACCTCACTAATAAATCAAAAATGACATCAGAGGTAAAAGTTTATAGTGATAATGTAGTATTATTGGTTACGCAGAAAAGAAAGGCTGCTGGACCAATGAATTAATCAAAACAATATTAAAATTTATCATGGCCTGATTTGGACCCTCCTAAACTGCCATGGTTGGAAACAGAAATTCCAGACATCCTTGCTGGACAACGTAAAATTACAGGGATCACGAGAGTTTGCTGAGAACAGTTTGTCGGATTTTGAATTTCTGACTGTTAAGTAAGGCAAACGCAGTCTATCATCAGCTGAACAACGTTAAACAATTGTCGTACGTCCTATTTTAGAAATGGAAGCATTGTTTTGTCATATGCATCATATTTCTCTCCAATAATTGACACACTGCAATGATTATCAACTTTTCGTTGCTATAATGGATTATCCAGCCACCTCTTCCCTTTCATGAATTTTGTCATAGTTGAAAGTCCAAACTCCTCTTGATATTCTTTCTTTTCATTGTTTAACTGTCCCATCTTAACTTGTTAACATTTTTTTTCGCTTCAATTCATCAAATTTATTGCTACCTTTTTCGAACTTAATATCTGTGTACAGCTTTCTTTTAG